TCCTGCATGCTTCCAAATAGAAACTGGAAACAGTAAGTAAGTATTACAAACACATAATTCTCATTCTCTTTGGCATAAAAAGCTGGGGTTTGTTCTGATGAGGTAGAATACCAGTAGTTCCTTAATGACTGAAGAGGAATACACACTGAGGAGAAAGGAATACAGAAAAGTGTTAATGAGGTGACTTTCATTTAGCATACATGGAGGAAAGGTGCAACCTGACACCGAGTACGTCCCTGGGGACATCAGAAAGTGGTACTTTACCACAGATGACTTTCTAGAAATTTTCTTTTTTTTCTTTTTTTTCTAGAATATTAGAAACAATACAATACACTAGAAAGTTCTACTTCCCAGAAAAAGAATTCTGTTTTAAAAAAAAAGTTATATAGAATGAAAATTAGGTATTTAAAAAAGCTCATGAGAAAAAAGTAAGTAAGTGAAAAAAATTTCAGATCAACTAGGAATTGGAGCAGCCTCTGTAGGTGTGGGATACACAATTTCAAGTCTCTTTCAGAGATTGAAGTTCCAGATTTCAGCAAGTGCCCCAAACGAGGCTATTTGGTGAGTATGCTTTTGGCTACCTCACTGTGAGACATTTGCAACAAATCCACCTTGCGTTTCCATGAAACAGGTCTGTTTTGACAGAGGGTAAGTTTTGTCAATGACAAAGCTGACCAGCTCTTCTGGACAGCACAAAGACACCTCTCTCACAGGGTCAGGATGAGAGTGCTGTGAACAAAATGTTCACTGCAAGACGAAGCCTGTCTCCATTGAAGATAAGCCAGTTGGATAGATATTTAGTTTACTCCTGTTCTTTGTAATCTTTTGTTAGGCTTACGGGGCAATTTTTATCTGCTGCAACTTTTACTGTATAACCAGACAAGCACAGCTTAAATGGCAATCGTAGAGATCCAGCTGTAGGTGCAGAAAGGACTAAGCAGACTGATTTGAACTATGTAAAGGAGGATCTCTAGGTGCAGGCCTTGTGGAAGCGAGGCGTGCAGAACACCTAAGGCACAAAGAGTGATGAACAGGTAGAAAATGAATGCCTTCTGAAAAAGGCATAGAAAGGAAGAAGGGCAAAGATGCTTGTGATTCAAAATAAAGCTTAGAATAGAGTGGGATTTGAATATAATTTGTAAAATAACTGGGTACAAACTTTATCATTAACTACTTGCCATGGGGACACTATTTAAGACAAGGTATTTGGGTCTTTGGGGATATCTTGATTGATAGAATAAATTACGAATAAACATTTTCAAACTTTCTCCCAACAGCTTCTAAATTATTGTTCACGAAGCACTTCTCACAGCTGAGAAAAAGTTATGTGTTATTAAGAAATGTAATTTAATCTGCACTGATTGCGAGGACAGAAAAGTCAAGCTGAACAAATATGAAACCACAGGTAAAACAGAGAATGAAAAACTAATGGTGAGAACAAACTATATATAGCCCAGGAGAAAGAATCACGGTTTAAGATGCTAACTATAAAAAATTATTAAGCTAAATCACCAAGAAGTACTAGAAAAATATGAATTTTCAGACAAACAGAGAGAAAATTAACATAGAATCACAGAATCATAGAATGGTTTGGGTTGGAAGGGACCTCTAAAGGTCATCTAGTCCAACCCCCCTGCCATGGGCGGGGACATCTTCAACTAGATCAGGTTGCTTAGAGCCCCGTCCAACCTGACCTGGAATGTTTCCAGGGATGGGGCATCCACCACCTCTCTGGGCAACCTGGGCCAGTGTTTCAACACCCTCAGCATAAAAAATTTCTTCCTTCTATCTAGTCTAAATCTACCCCCCTTTAGTGTAAAGCCATTCCCCCTTATCCTGTCACAACAGGCCCTGCTAAAAATTTTGCCGCCATCTTTTTTATAAGTCCCCTTTAAGTACTGATAGGCTGCAATAAGGTCTCCCTGAAGCCTTCTCTTCTCTAGGCTGGACAACCCCAACTCTCTCAGCCTTTCTTCACAGGAGAGGTGTTCCATCCCCTTGATCATTTTTGTGACCCTCCTCTGAACATTATGGAAAGAAAAATGACAGACTAAAAAGAAAGCACAAAGTGATTTATTGTTTAAATTAAAATGTGAAGTTCAGAATTTACTAAAATGTTCAAATAATGTGCTGTATTAATGTTTTAAAACAAAAACAAATGGCAATAAATGTGTAAAAATTAGTTCTGAAACAGAAAGAGTCTTCATTAAAGACAGAAGACTAGAGCAGCATTTACCATTTGCTTCTTCTTGCATTTTCAGCTGTTTCTTTGTTTGAAATTCTGCCAAAAAAAAAAAAATTCAACACAGTTAATAAAGGATCTTTCCTTTAACATTAAAGGAAAGGTTTGAAAGAAGAGATGAAAAAGACATTCTATGATTAGCCGATACAAGAAAACTTTCCTTCTCATTCAGTCCCTCATTACTTTCTCACTATCACCTATACCCATTGTACAATGCAAACACAAAGTGTATTCTCTCAGAAATATGAAAAAGGAAGCTGCAAAATGGTTAACTCTCATATTTAAAGTGTAAATTCAGCCGAGATTTCTTCGGAGGAACAAATTACAAATTACTGATCTTACTTCCATAAAGTTACAATAAACCTTACCTTGAGGGTACAGCTCAATTTCTGAATGAATTACACCTTGGGACATAAATGGAAGCCATCTAAGAATAAGAAAGAAAATAAGAAAGCAGGTAGGAATCAATTTTTTCTCCACCATATTACCATATATCTGAATGATTCACACCTTATTTTGATACTGAATACATATAACAGCAAATGGTCTCTACCTCTAAAATTTTCGTATTTGATGTGATAGATGTTAAAGTAGAAATTTTTTGACCCAACAAAGATTTTTGTTTGTGCAAACAGAAGAGCTGTGTAAGTGTAAAATATACCTGTGTCAGATTAAGAGACTCATGTGGCACAACTGTACTTATTTGTATAGTTAAACAGAAGAATATGGCACAGAACCTTTTTTTCAGTACTATGGATTGAGTGCTAAGTATAATTTGTATGTATCTATTGCACTATTTCTTACAATCAAAGTTCAGTGTTAAAAACAAAGATGGAACCAAATATGGCTCTTCCTTACTCCTTATACAAATTGAGGACAGATAGATGAGTCTGGAAAATTACAAGTTAAGGCAAACATTTGTTAGGTTTCTTAGTCATGTTACTCTATGCTGCAGATAATTTTGAAACATTTTCATTCAGAACATGGATTACCAACTCTTAGCCTCCTCCTGCTTGGTAAAAAATCAGCTGGTTTTCTGCATGTATAGTTAAACAGAAGAATATGGCACAGAACCTTTTTTTCAGTACTATGGATTGAGTGCTAAGTATAATTTGTATGTATCTATTGCACTATTTCTTACAATCAAAGTTCAGTGTTAAAAACAAAGATGGAACCAAATATGGCTCTTCCTTACTCCTTATACAAATTGAGGACAGATAGATGAGTCTGGAAAATTACAAGTTAAGGCAAACATTTGTTAGGTTTCTTAGTCATGTTACTCTATGCTGCAGATAATTTTGAAACATTTTCATTCAGAACATGGATTACCAACTCTTAGCTTCCTCCTGCTTTGTAAAAAATCAGCTGGTTTTCGGGGGGGGGGGGGGGGGGGGGAAATCAGCAAGCTTCTGGGCTGTTGGTTTTATTTACTTGGTCCATTTCCAGGAACAACCTGGAATCAACGCTCAGTCTCCTATGAAGTCTGTTGGGAATCCAGTATAAGCTGGGTAGGATGAGTCCAGAGAGGCTTTTGAAGGTTCCTTATTTTTTGTCTTGAAAACTTTAGCAGGCCAAGTCATATAAGAACTAGCTCCTAAGAAATATATTTTGTCTTACTAGACAACTACTTATTTATATCACTTCTGCTAAAACCTGACCACACAGGTATCATCTTATGCAATCTTAAATGCTAAAAAGTATCAGCCTGTAACTAACAAATACTGTATAATTGAAATCCAGTGAGAGCTGTTGGATGTTCAGAAACTAATATCAGATTTTTAAGTCAGATAAAATGCTGGTGTTTCCTTGGCTAAATGAGAAAAAATACAGCATTTTGTTCATACCCTGGATCATAAAATATCAATGTGAAATAAAGCTGTGAGGCTGAAGATTAATAAATTAGAGAGATTTCTGAAGAGCAAAAACCTCCCCCCTCCTTGAATAGAGCACAGTGTTTCAGCTTTACAGTTTGGCCAATGTGGAAGCTACCCCTGACCCCCACCACTGACCTATTTTAACCCTTTTTCAGTGGCAGTGTTTCCTCTGTAGAACTTCCATTAGGAAATTTTACCTATTTTTTTTAGAAAGGTAGCAACCACAGCTAGCAACAACAGCTGGTCTGCATCCAAATCTGCTCCAGAGAAATCCTCAATCTTATACTACTATTTAGAAACATGTTACCGGCTGAAGAAAGATCTCAGTTTTAGAGAGTTTAATCAAGGTGAGAGAGCATCTTTATTCCTGTTTTTGAGGATGTGACACCAAGAGTAGCAAGAAGCTGTTCAAGGATACGTAACAAATTCATAAAAATCCAGACAAAATAACTAGGCATCCTGAATGTATTAATTATTATTAATTAAATATTATTAATTCTAGTGCCTTGTCACATGGTCACATTGTTTCTCTACACTTCTTTCATTTCAGTTGAATGATGCACATACCCACGAGATAGACTGCAAAACTGGAAACTCCAAATGTGGGATTACCATATTTTTCCAAACATGCAAAACGCAAGATTTATCAATTGACTTTTAAGATGTTCATTTAAAAACTTAAATAGAACAACCACAAAATAATTCTGACTGTTGGGCATCACATTTGTCTCTCTAGCAATACTGTTGTTCATAAAGAGAAATGCTACTTCTGGATGGCAAATCTGTTTCCTTTCCCATTTAGAAATACACTTAATTTAGAACCTTTTTGTGTGCTTTGTCTTTCCTTCCTGAACAGACAAGTCACACTTATAGCACTGATCCGTGTATTATAAGGCTGCACTGTACAACCTCGTAACACAGCATTTAACCTTTGCTATGGACCATACAGCATATTAACTCAAGCAATCTGTTCTGGAACAACACATTTTGTGTATTTTATGAAACTGCAAAATAATCCAAATTTGTCTTTCCCTGGAAAATTCATATTTAGTACACTGGTTGGCATAATACTGTTAGTGATACATATTTAAGAATATTTAAGAACATTGCTGTAAAAACTACCTTGCACAATTGAAAACATATTCCGAGTTCTTCTCAGTTTCTCTGACAATGACTTTGTCACAGTACCAATACTGGGACTTGGCATTAGCCTCACAGCGCAACAGCACCTTCTGCAGTTCTCCAAGAGATACAGCTTCCACTTCGAAAGCACTGACCTAGGACAGAGGAGACAGCACTCTGCAATTTGCCACCACTAAGTCAGTCTGAAAGTTGAAGTACTTTAAAAACCTGATTAAAGCTCTCACAATGTACAAAGATTCCCGTTGTTTTAAATGACAGCTGGACTGTATTCTGAGTGTTTGGATCTGAAAAGTTAAATGTCTTTTGATTATGTATCAGAGTAAATGAGAAAACACAACTAAAATCAGACTGCAGTAATAATCCCAAATAAATTGGTATTTCAGCCATCGTCCAAAACGCTGCATACCACGCTTCACTATTGTTTCAATACCTCACCATTTACAATTATTCTTCTCTAGGTAAGAATGAGTTAAAGCTATTATTTCCTTTGTTGCTATTTATTTAAAATACAGACTTTCTCATCCTTGTCTCTTTTTGGTTTCACCTCCTCTATTTACATTTTATTCTGCTGGAAGAGACTGAAATCTGACATGCCACTTTCCCCTTGATATTCATTTAGGCTTGAGCTTACAGTTGGCAAAGTTTGTTTTCATGGGGGCATGAAGCTGATCAGGTGAAAGGTTCAGGGTGGTAATTTTCTATCACAGTAAAACGCATATAGCTTTCCCTCTCTAAATGTAATGGTCCGGGTCACACTTCTCAGTAAAAGGAAAATGAAGGAAAGAACTACATTGGAAGATTCATATCTGTAAAGTTCTCAGTCCTTAGCAAATGGCAGAATTGAGACTGCCTGTGCAACTTTAGTTCTCCCTTGAGTATATGTAATATATGATCACAAGCTATTGTCTCTGAAGGATCCCTGCCTCAAATTGGGCACAGGCAGGACTGCAGCTTTCTAATACTTCTTTTTATGTTCATTATCTTGATGACTCTATGCATTATTTACCACAACCACACAAACAGTTCAGTGAAGCAGAACTGATTTCCCCAGTGACTCCACTTTTGCACTTTTTCCATACTATCCCAGTTTTCTGCAAACACTGAAATCTATTTTTCGAAAGGCCATCTGCATAATATTTCATTCTACCTATATAGTTAAAGTACAGAGATTATTGCCAAAAGCTGTCAAGATGCAAAGTAGTTTGGGTGCTCAACTGAGAAACAGAGGGGTTAATTTATCGGCATATTTAGCATTTCAAAGAATTTACTATGTCCAGAGCAGAATTCTCTTTGAACAAACCCCAGTTACAGCTACGGTTGCTCAGAAAAGTTAAACTGGTTAGGCAGCAAAACAGAAGCATACAAGAAGTGGTCACTCAGGGAAGCTTCACTTTAAGTGATTTGGCCAATATCATGTAGCATATCTGTGGCAGGGATTAAATGAACTTGTTCAAGTCAGTATTCAACTACCTCTGTCATAAAATTATATATCCCAGGCCCACTCTGTACAATCCACTGTCTCGTTCACCCATTTCCATAACAAAGTGCACTTTTGAGCCACCCTGTATAAATAATATGCTGAATTTACTATCAGTCTGGCTAGAATAATTCCCCCAGAAAACTCCACTTAAATTGTGAACTTCAATTGGAACAGAACTTTATATCTAATACATTAGTAATGGTATAAATTATATATTTTAAAATAGTATATATACCTCTGAAGTTTCCCAGTGGGTTATTTTTATGCTTAGCATTTTAGATACTGCTTTTTATTTTGTAATTAAGTATTCCACTAACAGCTTGATACCATTTGTTAGACGTACAAGCGTTAATTCTCAATAGCTCACAAAGGAAGAAACAGGCTTAATATAAGGTCATAAGAAGGCTAATAGCAGAGCTAAGATTAAATTCAGTAGTTCCTGAAATTCAACCATACACTGCTGCAGAAAATCAGGATGATGTATATTTTACTTATGGAGGAGATCAGAGGTAATTGAAAGAAAAATGAATTTAAATCTGCCCTGCATTAATCACAATATTATACTATTATACATTAAAAGAAATACATAATGAACAGTCCTACTAAGATTTCTGTGCAGTCCTTTGGAATCAGCTGTACTCATTAAACTTTGACAGAATATGTTTTATATTCACAGGCAACTCTTCTCATCATCCTACGGGGGTTCTTCATATCATTCTTCTTCCCCTTTTCCTACTTGTGTTTTCACTCATTCTAGTTATTCCTGGATTAGTATAAAATTATTTTCCTTAGTTCTTAAAAATTATTTTTCTAAATCTCTGTGATCTTTTTCATTAGGAACCTGTTACGACCAGCAAAAGTTACTTAGTTATAGTTATATGGCTAAGCAAATTGTTTTTCAGACTTACCATTCCTCTCTGAAAAGTCAGTGGTATACCAGATTTATGCAGAAGTCTTAGGCCAGAATCTCCTCTTTTTCCATAGATACACAGATAAACTGCAGAATCTGTATCAGCTTGCTCCATGTCGCCAGTGTAGACATAAACATGGTATAAAACAACTTCCGAAAATAACCAAAAGAAGAAAATAAATGTGTAATCACAATTCATTTTACTGACCACTCTAGCTTAATGGAAACAATGCCAGCAAATTTGATTTGCAATTAATTTGCTGGAATATATTCTCCAGAAATCAGTCTATCTGGCTTTAAGATTGCTAAGACCACATTTATGAATATACAGCAGATGGAATATAATTCAGATGACATTAATACTGAAAACCAGGTAACCAATATATACGTAACTGTGCAACTGAAGGGCACACATACTTGGATAGACAGGTTTTCCAGCTTCCACCACTGGAAGTTCACAGAGAAAATCTCTATCATCACGATTCTTTGACAACCATGTGTTTGCTGGAAAATTCAGTGTTTTCTTGCTCTTTAGATGTTGCAGTATCACCTAGAGAAGAAGCAATTCCAACT